AAAAAAAAGTCATCTCGTCTGAATAAGGAGAGAAATATGCACAGATCAAGCACCGTTTACAAGTGAAAACAGTCCAAAACAGTTTTAAACAAATATGTGAGTGGATTTTGATGTGACTTTTGATGTGACTTTTTCACTGGAGGAAGCGTTATTATGGATTATGGATTCATATTTCGGCCAGAAGCGACGGTTTGAAGTTAAAACGCCTTAATGATGGATTTGTTTCTTACAAACACGCAGCTTTTCACAAGACATTAATTGATGGACTGGAGTGGTGTGGATTATCAGCTGTTTTGACTCAATTTTGATGTGACTTTTTCACTGGAGGAAGCGTTATTATGGATTATGGATTCATATTTCGGCCAGAAGCGACGGTTTGAAGTTAAAACGCCTTAATGATGGATTTGTTTCTTACAAACACGCAGCTTTTCACAAGACATTAATTGATGGACTGGAGTGGTGTGGATTATTAGCTGTTTTGACTCATTCTGACGGCACCCATTCACTGCAGAGGATCCACTGGTGAGCAAGTGATGCTACATTTCTACAAATCTGTTCTGATGAAGAAACAAACTCATCTATATCTTGGATGGCCTGAGGGTGAGTACATTTACAACAAATCCTCATTTTTGGATGAACTATTCTTTTAAGAAAGCAAAGGTCTGGCACCTTAGCTTGATCCTGGTGAAGGCTAAGCACAGGTTTGGCATCCAGCTCTTTCTTTTCCATCATCAGCTGAAGCATCTGTTTTCGGTATCGGCCCATGATCAGCTCTAAAGCGTACTGGTGCTCCTCCAGAGAGAGGCAGAGCTCTGTGAACAGCACAAAGAGTCGAATCAGGGATTCACTCTACAAATGCGAGACACTTTGAAGAAACTCGCGCTGACTTGCCTCTGTTCTCCTGCTGGAGGTCTTTGATTTGGGTGTTCTCCTGGGTCAGCAGGATGTGAGGTTTGTATCTGGACAGCTCCTGATACTCTGTACTTTCCTCCATGTACTAAATACAGGAAAAACAGAAATTCATAATCGGTGCTTACTGGTTATTCTTCATTTATTAGTTATTAGACGCATCATATACAGGATTCTAGAGCTGCAACAACTAAATTGACAACAAATTTGATTATCAATTAATTCAGGCTGCACATTATGTGTCTATCTATGTTTTTTTTTATGTGATTAATCAATGAAATAATCAATAGATTAATTGATTATCAAAATATTAGTTAGAGCTGTAACAACTAATCAATAAAAGCAACAATAATCAAGAATGAAAATACTTGATAACAAATTTGATGATCGATTAAAAAAAAAAACACACACACACACACACACACATATATACATTATAT